ACAGCAAAATGCAAAAGCCTTGATGGGCTTAAAATGCCTAATTTTGGTAACTTCCCGTAGCACAAGCACGAGGTGATGGAGATGGAAGCGAATTAGCGAGGCAGAGAGGCAGGACGGTGGATACTGGCGTCACAGGGGAGGGCAGGAGCGCGGGGTGATGCTCAGCACCCGCTTTGCCATCGCCCGACTCGGTCTCGCTGCCGCTCGGGCTCTTTGGGGCTGGTTCGGGCCGTTCCCCGGGCAGGCGGAGCGCGGCAAGCAGCCGGCAGCGGGTGAAGTAGCGAAAGACATTCACGACGTTAATGAAAGCTCTGACAAAAAGGAAGCGAGGGAAACCATTGTCTCCTTGGCCTTATTCTCATAATGTCTGCGTGTAATAAGTCTTCTGGTTATGCTTGTGGCTTCTGTGACAAAGCAGTGATTTAAGGGGCTGTCTTTACAGAGGCAGAGCTGCTCTCACGGGCCAAAGCGCTGGTGAGTAATATTTTACCACAAATTGTTGTAACTGGAGCTTGACAACTGCAGTAGGAAGGAGGGTGGGGGATTGCAGCTGATTTATTAGATGACTTACTGCGATTTGCAAGAGCGAGCTTTATGCTAGTGCGCACCCCAAATTTGCAAACCCTGCAAGTAAAAGTCCGTGCGAGTGAAACCAGGGAGGGGGAAAATCTTGTGTTTTGCTGCCAGGATCCCCACCCGGATGGGCGGGCAGGACGCAGGCATCGCCGCTGCAAACCGGCTTCTCCCGCTGGCAGCAGCTGGGGATGCCCGGCAGCGTTTCCCGCGCGTCGCCGGTGGGAACGGGGATCGGGTCTCTTGGTGTGGACATCAAGCGTAAAAATAATTGCTCTGGGCAGCAGCGCGTTCCCTCTCGGCCTTCCCACCAAGCCAGAAGTTAAAGGGATGTTTCCCTAAACCTGACCCGTGAAGCATCTTGAAGAAGAGCTCTAAGGAGGGAGGAAGGCAGGCTGCTGCTCGGGCTTGCATCGCTGTGAAAATTCAGGTCATGTTTACTACAGGCAGCTGGAAAATGATGATCTCAGATGCTAACAAGTAACATCTGAAGGGAAGCGTTAAAACACTCAAGTTGTTTTGTAAGCACCTACTTTATTTTTTTTTTTCCAAAACCAGTTTAGCTATTTTTAAAGATTCATTTGTCCCCTTAAGTACCTGATGGTGGCTTTTCTACCTCAAGCGAAAAAAGAAGAGGAGGTTGCCCTTCCTTTTAGTTTGAAATGCAAAAATGGTAGTTTGTTGGTTTTTTTAAGACCCGCAAACAACAAACCGACCCACTGTACGGCTTCCTTTCTGCTTGACCCACTGTACAGCTTCCTTTCTGCTTCGGAAAGGATAGCTACCTACAGTCTGAGGGCTTTTTGTCCTCCTGCAAGCTGACCTTGTGTAATTTCCTTTATTTACATTTGGCTGGCACTGGCCTCATTCACTACAAGAGTTTATACAACCCCTTTAAAGAGGAATTCCAAGGCTTGCAGAAGCAAGCTCTGCCCCGTGTTGTCCTCTTATTTACCAGTACAAAGTAGCTATATAATGCTGCTGAATAATAAGTGTTCTTATCTTATCTGGCCGTAATGCCTTTGTACCAGGATAACAGGAGAGGTTGTGGGCAATTAATTTAAACCAGGTGGGAGAAATTGTCTCTATGCCGGGAGACATCTGATAGTGCTAGTTTCATGTGCTTTTATTTATGTCAGCAGCGTGCAGCGTTTGTAATGCTTTTTTTATATATATTTTTTTTTTAGGGGGGGTGGTGTTGTTTTTGAGGAAGCTGTTGCACATACTGTTTGTTCACTGCTGTTAATTGAGCCAGAGTCAAATCGGGAGACAGATTAGCTTCCCGGGACTTTGGTATTTGCGTTAGGTCTGTGCCGCTTGCGTGCGTGATCACCTCTGTTCTAGGACTTTTGCAACCGGAACGAAAACAAACTGCACTTGATCCGTGTCGGTGGCGTGACGCTTCTTTCAAGAAGCAGTTCATTTGCAACCCTGACACACACACACACTGATGCAGCCTCACTCCACGTAGGGTTTGGTGATGCTACAGGCTAAGCGGGGAAAGGCTCGTTTGAGCTGGTGAGAAAAGAAATAAGGTTTGAGGGAAAGAAAATTGCCCTTTAGTGCCACTATCCTGCTATTTAGTAGCTTCATTTCTGATACATGAGCCGCCTGGCATGGAGAAAGTATTCTGCAACCCAGAGATGATAAAATAATTACATGATTGCGTGCTTTGAAGGCACGAGGATAATGTTCCTAAGTGCCACCAATTCAGTTACTAATCGGGGGAAGAAAAGGCTCCTTCTAATCAGGCCTCCCCGGGTAAGGGTTTACAAGAGAACCCTTGAGGTCAGCACTAATCTACCAGCTTCCAAGCAACTCCTTCAAAAGAACGCAGAGGATTGCCCAATTTTGTGGGGTAAACAGGCTACTCGGGGCTGAGGAAGCGGCATGTGACAGCGAAGGCTGACCCAGCCTCATCCTCGGGCTGCAGAAAGAGGGAGAGGAAGAAAGTTTCTTCATTTGCTTTATTTTTAAAAAAAAAAAAAAAAGAAAGGGAAAAAAAAAAGGAAAAAGTTTATTGCAAAACTCAGTGTTTTTTAGAGTATTTCCAGAGTCCACTGGGTAGGTTACAAACAAATCAGTAAATCCTGCTTTGAACACGTTAAAGCCTGCTTCTGGGTCTTCTGTGCCCGCACACACACAAACTCACTCGCTCCCCTGCTCGTGCCGCTACACAGACAGGAACAGAAACGTACTGTGAGGTCAGTGACAAACACAATATTTGATCCGTATTGGAAATCGCTTTAAAAACAAACGGAAAAAAGACAATTACAGTAGAACCTCGCGAATCTGCAGAACAGGGAGCTTCCACACACACGCAAAACCTGGAGGCCTTATTCCACTTCCAAGCAGAGTTGTAATAGCAAAGTGCTGTAGTGAGGTCTCGTATCACAAAGACTTCAATAATCTTACAACGACAGCCTACAGAACATTTACCAGAACGCTTGAAGGATCATAAATTAACAATAAATAAAAAGCACATCGTAATGCAACGCCGTTATTTGTTCATTTACTCACTGATTCACAAAACTCTAGTTCTCCGTAAGGGGTCTTCCAGTCCTGGGTGCAACGCAGCGAGGTTCTGCTGGCCGTGATAAAGTGCTGAGGCAGAGGAAGGACGCGAGACCGCAGGTCCCGGGCAGTGAGGATGAATTGCTCGAGCCGCTTGGTTGCAAGAGTGCCTGGTTCTTTCTTTCTTTTTTTTTTTTTTTTTCTTTTTTTTTTTTTTCTCTGGACATCTAAGACAGGAAAAAACAAATCAAGCACCTTCCCAAAAAGAGGTTGGTTTTTTTGTTGTGGTGGGTTCTTTTTTTTTCTTTTTTTTTTTAACAGATTGTCCCACATTTCTATGGCTGGTAGAATACAGACAGGTCAGCGGAGCAGTTAATGCATGATGCCACTTCCACTTAAGTACACAGAAGTGCTGGTTTGGATTGGTTTGTTTTTTTTTTTCTTTAACCCAGACCAAAACAGACTTGTTTTATCTGTCCCCCTGAGTTGCTTAGAGGCGTAAGATGCATATAGGTGGGGTAAGCAAGCTCGTGTCGCCGCCGTGAGTAGGAACCTCTCCCGTTAAGACTAAACGAACAGCGAGCACGTTGCCTTTTATCGTGCCTTCAACGTGCACAGGCTCCAGTTCATTTCTCACTGAAGGCTGCAGGAAAAAAAGAAAAAAACCAACAAAAAACCCAACTTTGACTGGAGGAGCAGGGAGAGCCAGGGAAGGGGGTACAGCTCAGAGCAGCCCCCCTCAGAGCTGACAGCTGCGGGGCGCAGACAGCGAGGGGCTGGGTAACGGGGGGGTTCCACATTTATTGGGTGATGCAGCCGAGATTTCCTCGTGCACCCATAAGTGAAGGTTTCGGGTACGTTAAGACAGACGGGGCCAAATTCTCCCTGTGGGGCGAGGGCTGGTAACGGCAGCGGAGCTGGGTCCACCGACACCAGCTGAGGCCTTGTGGAAAGGGATGTTGGAGCTGTAGTTTATTACTTTATGTCCTTTGTTTAAATAACAACTGGGTTACCTAAGACCTACCTATTTAAAAGAACAGCTACACTCTATGCTGTAAGAGCAAATTTCCCAACAATTTCACAAGCTAGCAATACAAGATAGGCATTGAAGAGACTGATGTCGAGACAGCTTTCCCTTATGCTAAAGATGATTTTTCCTCTCCAGTTATTTAAGCTAACCTCCTTTAACCATCTTAGAATAAATTAATAAATACTAGTTAAATTAGAAACAGTACGTCAGATCCGACTATCAAGAGGAAACAGTTCTAAGGATACCAATCGGGAGAAGAAAAATGATCTTATGAAATATGTGCAGTAATAACTGGCCATAAAGACACACGGAGCCTCCCATTTCCCGGCATTTGTGACTTTCAAGTTAATTAGAAGAACATTAGCAACGGTTTTGATCAGTTATCTAGCCTAGCCTCCTCCTCAAATCTAAAACAGAGTCCGTATTCTTCCAGGGGAAGATTGAGTTGGCTACTGGTGGTGTACAAAATGCTCATCTCCAGTTCATATCATCAGTGTCTTGGCTGTGTGGAGTTTGTAGTAGGGGATGGGTGAAGACAGGCAGAGGCTGAGCTGCTTCTGCTGTTGCTGTTCTCAGTTTTTCTGGGATCAGTTGAACCTTTACTTATGCTTGTTACCAGGAAAGCAGGAGCGTGCATCACATCTTCATGCTAGGCAGATGTTATTCTTATGTGGCTATCCGTATTTTCTATGGAGCTTTCCATTGTTGGTTAAAAAGAAAAAATCTCTAATAATTAAAAATAAAAGATTTGTTGGTAGCAACTGTTCACATTTAAAATTCACATTCCCTTTAGAATGTAGTTTTAAAACGTGGAGCAGAGCTGATGGTTTTCCCCAATCTTAGGCCTCTCCGTGACATCAGATGGAGAAGGAGCAGGTTTTATTTATGCTGTGCTTTCACAGGCTTTTCCTGAATTTTCTGCTTTTGCGATATCCATGTCAATAAAGTCATCTGGTAACTCTGGCAGAGCCCGCGCCGTGCTCTCCTCCACGGGCTGCTGCCGGCGGCGGCACAGCCCAACCTTGCACGGTCTCACCAGGGACAGAAACACGGCCCCCAGGACCATGCCAGCAGCACAGGAGTAAAAGGCTGAGCTGTAGTTCTGTGTCGTATCCACTAAGACACCTACGGAAAACACATTTACAGCAGTTAGTCACAACCCACTCTCCCTCGCCCGTTCAGCCCTCCTATAGAGAAGATTTTTAATCTGTGTCCCACCACATCATTTTATTTGCGGTCGAAAGAGACTGAGACAAACTTCAAAAAAAAAAAAAAAAAAAAAAGGAAAAACGTTGTGTTCGAGGGTATATTGTGTCATCTTCAGGCAAGTCAGAAGCCTCCGGGCGTTGCACGGATGCTAAGCCCGAGATGCATCAGGCATCTGTTTACGATGACAGAGACTTCACCTTTCCGCAGCGTGTGGCAGAAACCCGCGCGCAGCGAAAGCGATGGTTCTACCGTTTGCTAGAGCCTGAAGTGATGCCAGTTTTAGGTTTCTAACGGGATCGGGGCAGCACTGCAGTATTTTCCTTCCCTCCGAGGTTCCTCAGTGGAGGCTGCCTGATCTGTGGGACTCTGCAGAGCTGCATTGCAGCAGTCTCCTGGCTCCGAGAACCTCCTAATACTAGTTTGCAGGGCTTTGAGGACAGTAGCGCTGCCAGAACACTTTCTAGAGAGAAAACAGCACCAGTAGCTGTCAAACACACCAAAAAACAGACAACCCCAAAGACGAAAAGTTTTAAAGTTACCTGCAACGGGTGGTCCAGCCAACCCAGCTAAGCTTTGTATGAAGACATAGACTCCAGCTGCAGAAGACATCTTGGCGATGCCGACCACGTCGTCTTCTGCCAGGAGGGGAATATGCGTGCCTGCTACGGTGCCGAGCATGAACCCAAAAAATATGCTACATGTCATCAAGCCCCAGAATTCAGAGGCAAAAGGGAAGGCAAACAACGCTACGGACAGCAGAACGACGCAGATGAGTTCGATGTAGATCTTGCGGATAGGCTTTTTGTTGAGAACCCAGCCAGCTGAAATCCTCCCAAAGACCTCCGCGATGGCCATGGCCGACAGGATGTACGCGGAGTGGTCTTTGCTGATGCCAAGGCTGAGGCTCAGGGGGATGATGTAGAGGGAGGGAGCGAAGAAGCCCAGGGTAGCGAACAGGCCAAAGAATGCATAACAGATAAAGCTATAGTCTCTCATCACAGAAAAGTCCAGTAGTTTGGTTTTTGGTTCTGGAGGGGTGCTGTTATTTGCAGCAAGTATCTGTACGTGTTCCTTTGGTTCTTCACTTTTCGGCTCTGCTTTGGTGTGTCCAGGCACATTGCTGGGTGAGGTAGTTATTTCTACTCCTGAGTCTATGGACTCTATTGAGGTGCGTGTTTGCTCATTTTCAAGCATGTACTTTGTCTCTGTGGGCTCTTCTGGAGGCTGTGCTTTCACTTCTTCTTGCTCTTTGATGATAATGGGTCGCAGCAGTGATCCGCAGATGACGATGCCTAGCTGCAGCACTCCGACAGAAAGGAGGCTGTATCTCCAGCCAATCTGCTCCTTCAGAGCAGTAATTGCTGAGGAAAAAGGGCAGAAAAAGAAGAAAGCATAACTCAAAAAGCCTGTAGTTACACGAAGGAGCTATTTGAATTTACAGCTAGGGAAGCAACGGAGCTTCATCACCAGAGGGTCCCAAGCATCTCAGCTCTTGCAGAGGCTGAGCAGGACTCCCTCCTGGTCCATCCTGACCTGGCACACCCAGAGGTCTGGCACCCACATTCCGCCCATCAGCTGCGGCAGACAAGAGCTAGGAGTTCATTTAACACCTGGCTAGCAGCAGCTGCCCTCTAGGTAGCCACTTCTGAGGGCTCAGCGAGTTTGGGATGAAGGTGGGGTTATTTTTGGTGAACACGAGTGAACTCAGTGTTCAAGTTTCCTCTCTCAGCTGACGTCACCCTGAACCCAGCTACTAGAGGAAGGCTCTTACCTCTACTTGGAGGTGCACTGCTTAATTATAAACCTTCGATTTGCAATCGAAGCACCTTTGCAGCAGGTATTAGCTGAAAGCAAGCGTGCACCGCAGGAGACCACCTGAACTGCAGAGGACAGGGATGTGCTGCCTGGAGGGACCGGTCCCCAAAAGGCAGTTGGGCAGCCCACTAACCTTTAGGAGCAGTTATGTGCGTTTTAAATAGCTGGAATTTCTCCGTCTTATTTTTAGCCTGCCAGATCTATATAGGGAACCCGTCGGGCTGCGTATCAGTGAGGCACGTCCCGCTCTGGCGGCCGATGCCGGGGAGAGCTGTTAGTTAGACCAGCCTCTAAGATTACTTGTAACCCTGCCTGCAGGGCACGAGAGCCAGGGGCATGTGAGCAGCCACCTGTGGGCTTCAGCAGCTCATGGGAGGGTCCATGAGCACCCTGGTACAGGTGGCTTTTGGCTCCCATTTGCTTGGGAAAAGGGTCCAAGTGGCGTCGTGCTTTAGTGTGAACCGAGTGTTGGGGGCACAGTACCTGGTGCAAAGGAGAACACAGCGAAACATTCTCCTGTAGATGCCACTGCTGTGACCAGCGAACGTCTTTTGTCAAAATACTGTGACAAAATGGTGACAGTCGGGAGGAAAGAGAGGCAGTATCCGAGGCCTGTGAATAAATGCCAAAAATTGCCATAACAACAAGTAAGGGAGGGGGAAACACCGATGCGAGAACACGTTAAGTCAGCTTTCCCAGTGGCGAGATTACAGTATCATTTCGGCCAATTCGGCAAGTCACCCTGGAAGAAAAATCATTGGGGAAACCAGAATGTTATTTTTTTTTTTAATTAGAGGGGGAAAAGAAAAGAAAACAAAAACATCAGAAGCAAGAGACCCAACCTCCCAAACCTGCTAGATAATGCCTTGTGTTCCCCACCAGCCAGCGGGGTCCACTTTCAGGACCCCCTCTGCTTAAAGAGTTTGAGCCTGCAGGAATTCTGTCCTAAGCAAGGCAAGCTCCTGGCCATGGATGTGAGCAGGACACCCAGGCCAGACTGGAGAAGAAGGAAAAGTATCAGAAAAAAAAAAAAAAGAAAAAAGAGGAAAAGATAAGAGGGAGAAGACAGAGTATTTGATCCTGCAAACAGCTTTCATCTGCCCAGTGATTCCAGTCAATCAGAAGCTGCATTAGGACAGGGGGTCTGCAGGACCAAGTCCCGACGGCAAGCAGGGACAGAAAGCCAAGCCCTGAGCCCAGGTCATCGCCTCCGCCAGGAGAGCGAGGGCAGCTCGGAAGGGGCAGCAGCATCTCTCAAGCAACCCCCCGCCAGGCAGAGCCGCGCTTTGCGGGAAGCTGCGGGAGCGAGCGAAGCGTTCGGGCAGGACAACTCACCGGAGACGACGCCGATGGTGATGTACATTTCCACAACGGTGCGGGAGAAGGAGGCAGTGACCATGCCCGTGCTGATCAGCACCCCTCCGGCCATCACCACGAGGCGGTGACCGAAGCGATTGCTGAGGACCGTTGACAGAGGAGCTGGGTGGGCAGGAGAGGAAGAGAGCTAAGTCAACACTCAAGTCAGCAACTTCAGCAGCTGCCACCTCCTTCGGAGGCTCTTCTCACACCCCTGCCTGGGTTCCCGTGACGTGCCATCCCCCCAGCCTCACGCAGCAGAGCATCACCCCGGAGCACAGCCCAGCTCGCGGCACATACGATGGGCTAAAAATCATCCAAAAAGACTAAGACGGGTGCGTGGCAGCCTGGGACAAACCTGCAGCAACATGCAGAGGCACCAGTGGGTTTCAGTGAGGCTCAAGTTATTTCTAACCCTTTTCACTTCAGAGTTAGGGTTCAAAACTCTCTTTTGCCCCCGTTGCTGATGAGAGCTGAACAGCTGGGCCAAGCTCAGCAGCAGAGACCACATCCTTGAAGGACAGGAGTTGGGGCTCAAAGGAACTGCTGGGCTGAGACCGACGTTTCTTGGCATTTCAGGAGCATGCAGCCTCTGGGGTTTATGGCTCTTATTAACATCAGGGCTGTTAAAGACACAAAAGTCGCAGCTATCGGGTCCTTGCGTGCTGAGTCAGCAGCACGACTGCCCCTTGCACTCGCGCCGAGCGCCTGCTCCTCTCACCTGTGAAGGTCTGCACAAACACACATATGGATATTATCCAGGATATCCTGCTGTTGGTTTCGTCAAAGCTTTCCATCAGGTCATTAAAGAAGACCCCAAACGATTTTAGAATGCCGTACGTTAGAGCCTCCACAAAAAAGAAAGCAAAAGCAATCGTCCAGCCCCATCCTCCGTCAGGCACTTTAGTATAAACATTTGGAGCCGTGCACGGCATTTTTACAGTTTTGACAGTCATTTTGATCTGGAAAAGAGGGGAGAAAGAGCCAGGCATCAGTTTAAGACGAATATTACTGAAAGAGGCACAGCCTAGCAGCTGCAGCATCCCTAGGGCAGGGCTGCAGCCAGTCCCTGTGCTGCCCAGGGATTAAACGCAGGAGTTGGGCTGAAGTTTCTGCCTTTGTCATCTGACGGGGTTCATTTCTGCTGCTGCCCTTTGAGCCCAGGACCAGAAACTCCGCTGAGCACCCGGGCGAGCTGTTCCCATCAGCAAAACCCAGCACCAGGGAAGCGTCATCTGTATTCTGGTGTGTGGGGGTGGATGGATGCAGTTTGTGAAAGATCCACTGCAGGATTGAAGCGCGGGCTTGTGGAGCCCCGAGAACTCCCCAGGAGCATCCGTCCTCCCCACTGCACCCTCCTGCTGCCCCGGGGTGTCCCGTGACACCCCCGTGCCACCTGATTGCTGCAGGGTCGGGCAATGGCCCAACCGCACCCCAGGGTGTCCCTCGACCCGCTGCTGGCCCTCAGGGTGGGGGTGACTCCTGGGGAGCCTCTCTGCTCCCCAGAATGGCTGCTCCAGGGCTGGTGCTGCAGCCTGGCGACAGAGGGGGA